CAAAATAATCTAATTTTGACTTTTAAATAAGATTATTTCATTTTAAAGAATTTCATTTGAATTTTTAGATATTTGGACTAGAAGCAGGACAAAAGAGAACTAAGAACAGCATTTTTGCAGTCTTCAGTAACTAAAACCAAGCACTTCCTAAAACAAGCCAATCCACAACTCTGCTCAAGTACAAACTGCTCCAGTTTCCCAGTATTAGATTAGTGCCTTCCCATAACTGCTGTTTTCGTGCCTCTCCACACACTGCTAATGTGATCTAGCTCTAGACTCATCCTAGATCTAGTCTCAGCTTGAGATATTGTGCCACATTTGACTGAAGACACTCTAAAGTGTTTCTGGGAAGTGTGTGTTCTGTTTTGTTTAATGCTGCGTTCACACTGCATGATTTTCAGCGGCTGTGTTTCCATTTATTGTTCATCAGAGAATTACTTTGCACTCTCAGAAGTAAAGGTACACGATCTGTCACTGGGGTGGTACCTTTTCGAAAGGAACAAATTTGTACCTAAAAGTTCCATATTAATGCCTCAAGGGTGCATATTAGTATTTAAAAAGTACAAAAGAGTTCCTCTTAAAATTTGTAGGTCCTAATATATACTTTTGGGGTACTAATATGGACCCTTCAAGTACAAATGTGTACCTTTTGAAAAGGTACCACCCCAGTGACAGCTCTCGTACCTTTATTCCTGAGAGTGTAGGTACTCTAAATAAAGGTTTATAACCACTTAAGAGTGTGTAAATAGTGATTAAATTTCATTAAGTAATGAACCATCCCATTAAGTAATGTGTAAGTATTTAGGTTTGCTTCGTATAGTGAGTATACTAACATCAATACTGTATATGGAAGAAAATGTGTGACATGTCTCCAACTATAACCACTGACATCCAAAGCAGTAAAATAGATACTATGGAATTCAGTGGTTATGGGTTTCCAAATTTCCTCAAAATTCCTTCTTTTTAGATCAACATAATAATAATAAAATTATTAGACAATTAATAAATGATGACAGTATTTTACTTTTTGGACGAACTATCCCTTTAAGACGTGTGTGAGTGAATGAATTATTGGAGGTGGCACGGTGGCTCAGTGGTTTGCACCGTCACCTCACAGTCGCTGAAGGTTACTATAGTCCCTGCTGGGTCAGTTGGCATTTCTGTGTGGAGTTTGCATGTTCTCCCCATGTTGGCGTGGGTTTCCTCTGGGTGCTTTTCATTACAGGCTTTCAGCTTTCTTTAAAATATCTTCATTTGTGTTCATCAGAAGAAAGAAAGTCGAACTGTTTGGAACAAGTGAGTGAAACTATCCCTTTAAATTCCCTACTAACATTTAGTAGGATGAAAACAGGTACAACCTGTCATCTTCAGATTGTCTGTGCTTGGCTATAATCTTAAATATGACTGTAAATCATTCTCTGTTTTTTTTTTTTTTTTTGTCCATTCCAGTACACATCGTCCTGCTAACAGCAGAGTGAGTCATTTTCCTTGTTGCAACTGGCTGAATGCTTGATTTTATACTGCAGGCACTTTCAGCTCACAACAAGAAAGTCCATTTAGAAAATAAATACCAATTACTCACTTATTTTAACGCATCACATGGCTCTCTAGAATACTTGTTTCTGATTGGTCGATCACAACATTCCAGGTATGGTTTCTCCAAAGGTGTATCTGGGTGCCACAAGTTATCTTGACCATTAGTGAATTCAGGCGAAGCAGTGCTGTTGCCTCACAGCAAGAAGGTCGCTGGTTCGAACCTCGGCTCAGTTGGAGTTTCTGTGTGGAGTTTGCATATTCTCCCTGCCTTCGCGTGGGTTTCCTCCGGGTGCTCCGGTTTCCCCTACAGTCCAAAGACATGCGGTACAGGTGAATTGGGTAGGCTAAATTGTCCGTAGTGTGTGTGAGAATGTGTGTGTGGACGTTTCCCAGAGATGGGTTGCGGCTGGAAGGGCATCCGCTGCGTAAAAACTAGCTGGATAAGTTGGCGGTTCATTCCGCTGTGGCGACCCCGGATTAATAAAGGGACTAAGCCGACAAGAAAATGAATAAATTAGTGAATTAGTTCCTTTATAAATCTGGGGTCACCACAGCGGAATGAACCGCCATCTATCCAGCATTTGTTTTGCACAGTGGATGCCCTTCCAGTCGCAACCCATCAGTGGGAAACACCCATACACTACAATTCACACACACACACACTATGGCCAATTTAGCCTACCCAATTCACCTATACCGCATGTCTTTGGGCTTGTGGGGGAAACTGGAGTGTATATCAGATTCCAAGATTCTTAATTTGACAAACACTTTATTAATCTAAAACACCTATAAAGATTTTTGTGCAATTAAAAGCTGTAATGAATATTAAAGAGCCTTTATTTTTAAGATTGTTCAGAATATCCGAATGATTTTGTCACCCTTTGTTTTCACTAACCGCTCTATTACATCATCAAACAGAACATAAAGAACAGAACAGAACGGCTCTGGGAATATATATTACCGTTACATAATAGTGAACAGCGCTTATAATGGGCTTGCATTGTTTGGCTGTCGGAGACTGACGGAGCTGCAAAGAAAGATCTGATGCACACCGAACGCATTGTTTTAAAAAGCCATTAAAGTACAGTAGCTACTATTTGAAGCATATAACATGATGTGTGCTTGGCAACATGGTGTAGGAGGTGTGCGGCTGCCTTCAGGGTATATATCACTGCCTCCTACTGCTCTACTTGACTTTCAGCTTTTACAATATCAGCTTCCAGGGGGAGAGAGAGAGAAAAAAAACCTTCCTGACAATACAATACAGCACAACAATCAGCATTTGTAAAGGAAATTTCTTTGAAAATGGCAAATGCGAATGACTCAATACTGAATTGCAGGCACATTTCAAGCATTTTCCATTCGTTTTGCTGACACCGGAATGACGTACACTGTGATTAATCTACAGTAAACTGAATCCATGTTCAATGCTTAAAGTGGCCATATGTAAGATTGACACCCAGTGGATGAGCTAGGTATTGCACTCCTCGTTCAAAACGCACTCAAGCGCAGGTTGCCAAATAGACGACACCAACAGTAGTGTGCCTAAAGGTTGACTTTAATTGTGTTCTAACTAAAAGCAACAGCACGCGATAGAAGTATTTTTTTTAATATTCTGCTTGATTAAATTATCTAAAAAGTAGAAAAAAACAGCATTCAAGAAGGCAACACAGCAGTATCTTGTGATTAATACCGAACTCCTCACCTTTACAGATTTCACAGTTAGAGAATGTCAACCGTAGGCAGTAAGGTGTGTATAAAAGTTGCACATGAAAAGTGTGTGTTTGTGATAAAGTAAAACTATGTATGACGAACCGTGCATTCACAGCGTCAATGCTTGAGCGAGGGTTTGTCTGAAGTTGGGGCTGACGCGATCGTCATAGCAGCGTCAGCCAATGAAATTAGTCGGCAATCGGCTACTGCCTGAGCTGGGGTATTTGAATAAAGCAATCTGATTGGTCGATATTATTACGGGCCCACGACAGCCCCCACCCCCAACGACCCCCCCCCCCCCCCTTGCTCTTCACTTTCGTCCGTGACACTTGTCAAACACCCCCACCCCCCCCCGCCCCCCCCACCCTCTTTACTTTCATTTACGACACCCCTCTCACCGCTCTTCACTTTCATCCACACCCTACCGCCGCCCCCCAACCCCCCCCCCCCCGGTCTTTACTTTTGTATGTAACAACAACCAACCCCAAATAGGATTATAATATATAGTATAGTAATAATTAAATACAAATAAAAATAAATAAATAAAACAATAAATCAGAATAAATCAGCTCTCTCATTACCATTAGGTGAATAAATATGTGTGTTTGTTTTTTTGCTTTTACACTAGTGCGTTTTAGTTTTAAAACGGGGTTTTAGATCAAAAACGAGCGGCGTCCACACTAGCGTTTCACCTAGCGTTTCTGAACATATCTCCGTCCACACTACGCCACCAAAATCATATATCACGTGACTATTCGCGCACTCTGGGCATGCGCGCTCTAGTATAAACAGGAAGCATGCGTCTCGGTCGGCATTTAGTTATTGTTAGTCAACAAACGCCAGTTGAACAATGAACGCGATGGCAAAGAAAGCAAGAGAGGTATTTTTGTGGACAGACGACGAGGTCGAGTTGTTACTAAACGTAACAAATGAATAACTGCACAACGGCGCCTAAAACAGACAATAGTGCAAACAACGCTCCCATTTCTATGTCCATGTTGTTGTTTACAGTGAAGGCTGGTCTGCTGTCTTCCGGTAGCGTTAAAGCCATGTTACAGTCATGTGATAGGGGCTTGACGAATAAGGGAAGGATATGCAGTGACACAAAAGCTCCAATCAGCTAGCGAATCTCAGCAGCCCCGCCTCTGTTTTCAGATGTCTCTTTTTTCCCTCATCCACACTAAGATGGAGCAGCAGCGTTTCAGAATGAAAACGGCCTCTTCAGCGTTTTCAAAACGCTCCGTGTTTGGCACTTGAGAACTCTGACGTAGTGTGAACGGATGGCGTAACTGTAGCAAAACTTATGCATTTTTAAACGAAAACGCGTTAGTGTAAACGGGGCCACAGTATGTATGTGAATGCAGTGTGTATATGCAAGATGGTCGTGTATGTAAATTTACATGTAATGATTTATTTTTTGTTTTACATTTCTTAGAAAAATTACATGAAAATTTAAAAAAAATAAGTGGTATCAATATCGGTATCGGTATTGTAAAAATTTTACCAAATGTATCGGTATCGTATCGAATAAAAAAATTTTGGTATCGCCCATCCCTATTATCTGCTTATTTTAGTATGATCATTACATCAATACATTTTCTTTTAATAATCGCGATATAACACAAAATATCATTATTGCGACCCTCAAAACTGAATTGATTTGTGTTTGAGCTGTGTGGAAGCCTGCATTTTTTTTTTTGTTTTGCAGTGTTCGTGCATTTGAAGTGTTTAGGGCTGATCTGAGCACCTACCCCGAGTAGACAGCTTCTTTGTGTTGATGATCTTAGCGGCATACTCTTGCCCTGAGAGAACTTTCACGCATCTCCGCACCACAGAAAAGGCTCCCCTAAAAACAGAACAACAGGGTCTGTATGTTGAACATTGAGTGCATGGAACTGTGAATGTAAAACTTGAAGAATAAGGCGCAGATTTACCTGCCAGGCAGGCAGTAATATATTGTATTATGCAATATTTCAATGTCTGAATTGAATTGCCACCCACAAATGCAATTATGTAAGCGGTTTGACTGCCCACAGAAAAAGGACGTGTGTGTATGTGTGTTTGCGCGCGTGTGTGTGTGTTCAGTATGAGGGTGTGTGTGGGAGTACAGCAGTGGGCACAAGGCCAGATGGAGTTGAAGACCCATCTCTGTAGAGGTGTTACATGCTCTCAAATCAAGAAAACAAGTATACAGTGCACTCGCTCAGGAAAAATGCTGTAGTACAGAGTGGGTGGATGGAATGAGGGAAGCAAGAAGGTTTTTTTTTTTTGTACTTCTGCCTCAACATTTCAGAGCATTGTTACTGTGCATCAGTCGAGAGGAATGTATTACACTTACCAATGCTTTCACAACGATTATGTATATAAAATTACCATAATATAATTACCACTAATTGTGTGTGTGTGTGTGTACATTGTATTCCTAACATTGTGAAGACCAAATGTCCCCACAAGTATAGCAATACTAGAAAATCTTGACCTCTTGGGGGCATTTTTTGGCCTCCATGAGGAAATCTGCTCATAAATCACATTTAATGAAGTAAAAATGCAGCTTGTTTCCTTTGAGGGTTGTGTTTAGGGTTAAATTAGGGGTTAAAAATACAGTATAAGAATTATGTCTATGAGTGGTCCCCATAAAGATAGCTATACAAGTTTGTGTGTGAGTAAGTGAGTGTGTCTGTGTGTGTGTGTGTGTGTGTGTGTGTGTGTGTGTGTGTGTGTACCATGTAATCCTGATGACCAAATGTCCCCACAAGTATTGCAATACCAGTAAAACTTGACCTTGTGAGAACATTTTTTTGGTCTCCATGATGAAAGAGACTCATAAATCACTTGTAATGGAGTAAAAATGCAAGTTGTTTCCCTTGAGTGTTGCGTTTGGGGTTAAATTAGAGGTAAGGGGGGGTAAAAATACAGTATGTACAGTATAAAAATCATGAAGTCTATAGGTGGTCCCTATAAAGATAGCTGTACAAGTCTTATGTATGTGTGTATCAGTACTATGTATTCCTGATGTTGTGGGGACCAAATGTTCTCACAAGTATAGCAATACCAGTAAATCTTGACCTAGTAAGGACATTTTTTTGGGGTTTCCATGAGGAAAAGGGCTCATAAATCACATATAATGATGTAAGAATGCTAATTGTTTCCCTTGAGGGTTGGGTTTAGGGTTACATTAGAGGTAAAGGGGGTTAAAAATACGGTATGTACAGTATAAAAATCATTATGTATATGGGTGGTCCCCATAAAGATAGCTGTACAAGTCTTTGTGTGTGTATCAGTACCATGTATTCCTAGTGTTGTGGGGACTCACAAGTGTAGCAATACCAGTAAATCTTGACCTTGTAAGGACATTTTTGGATCCCCATGAGGACAATGGCTCATAAATCACATAAAATGAAGTAAAAAAACTAACTGTTTGCCTTCAGGATTGCTTTTGGGGTTTAATTAGGGGTAAAGGGGTTTAAAATTACAATAAGAACAGTATAAAAATCATTACGTCTATGGTTGGTCCCCAAAAAGATAACTGTACAAGTCTCTCTCTCTCTCTCTGTGTGTGTGTGTGTGTGTGTGTGTACCTTGTAATTATCTCACTGTGGGGACCAAATGTCCCCAATAACAGTTAATTGTGACCTAGTGGGGACATTTTAGGGTAAACGACTCATAAATCACACAAAATTAAGTATTTTGAAAATGTAATAGCTGAGTAATAGATTTTCGTGAGGGTTGGATAGAATATACAGTCTGTACAGTATAAAAATCATTATGTCTATTGGAAAACCCCTTAAAAATCGCTGTACAAGTGTGTGATTGTGTGTGTATCTTGTATTCCTAACGTTGTGAGGACCAAATGTCCCCACAAGTATAGCAATACCGCAACATTTTGACCTAATGGGGACATTTATCGGTTAACAGGTCAAAAATCACACATAATTAGCTATTTGGAAATTGTTAACGTCAAAAATGTTTTCGGTGAGGGTTTAATTTAATAATAATTTTGTGTGTGTGTGTGTGTGTGTGTGCGTGTGTGTGTGTGTGTGTGTGCGTACCTTGTAATTATCTCACTGTGAGGACCAAATGTCCCCACAAGTATAGCAAGATCAGTAAATTTTGACCTAGTGTGGACTTTTTTGGGTAAACGATTCATAAATCATACAAAATTAAGTATTTTGAAAATGTAATAGCTGAGTAATAGTTTTTGGTGAGGGTTGGATAGAATATTATGTCTATATGAAATCCCCTCAAAGATCGCTGTACAAGTGTGTGATTGTGTGTGTATCTTGTATTCCTAATGTTGTGAGGAACAAATGTCCCCACAAGTATAGCAATACCTATATGTTTTTACCTAATGGCGACATTTATCGGTTTACAGTTAATAAATCACACAGAATAAAGTATTTGGAAAATGTTAAAGTCAAAAATGTTTTTGGTAAAGGTTGAATTTAGGGGTAGGGGGATAGAATATACAGTTTATACAGTATAAAAATTATTAGGTCTATAGGAAATCCCCTTAAAAATCTTTGCACAAGTGTGTGATTGTGTGTGTATCTTGTATTCCTAACCTTGTGAGGACCAAATGTCCCCACAAGTATAGCAATACCAGTACATTTTGACCATTTATTGGTTGACAGCTCATAAATCACACAGAATTAAATATTTAGAAATTTGGAAAAGGATTTCGGTGAGTTTGGTAGAATTTAGAGCTGGGGGATAGAATATACAGTATGTATCATATAAGAATCATTATGTCTATGGGAAGTCCTCATAATAATATCTATGTGTGTGTGTGTGTGATGCACTATACAATTGCATACAGCATTTGTAGATTTTATCGCCAACCGTTTTTTGTTTAGTTTCATATAAAGCCTAATTACATTCAATGCAATTAATCCAAGTCAGTTAAATCTGTAGAGATGTCTGTAAAAAGTGCACACTCTCATTTTCTCCTCAACATGCTCTCGCTTCATTCATAAGACCGTTTCAGCATCTACCATTAGCAAGATTCTTCAGATCTGCTGCTGAACACAACGTAATAGGCTCCTTCTGTTATGTAATGTAAGTTGCGTATATGTGCGCGGTCTGAAGTTAGCAGCATTGAATCCGATTTCATACTAATGCACTATCCTGCAATGATCTCACATTCAACAGTCTTCACATTAGCTCATGTGTAAAACATAATGAGAGCCATTATGAAGCAGCCATCCTGAAAGCAGCCCTAATGCACTCTGAAATCCAGTTGCTAATCAAACTCCATGTGAATTCATGAATATTTGGCATTAATGACATCCCATAACATTAGCTGATCTGTAATACACAATGATAGGCATTATAAAACAATAGGATTTAAGTGAAAATAGCACCCAATGCATTGTGCAGCCCTGACATTCCTTCACGCCAGATTAAAGACACAACAACTTACTTTCCCAGTTCCTCAAACAGCTGGTATTCCTCTGTAAAGCGTGTGCAGGTGATGGTTGCCATCCTGGAAGCGTGTGCGCCTCTTCTGCGTCCGCGACGAGATGTGAAGATTCCCTTCGAATCGTCAGGCAGAAGAAAAACAGAAACGCCTGGTCTGGAGATGCTCTCGGAAAAGTGAAACGAGGGGAAGGAAAGAAGAAAAAAAACGGCAGATCTTTCACTGGCTGCTGCGACTGGCTGCTGTCCTCCATACACATACCCTGGTTTCCATGGCAGCAGCATCCTCCTCCTCCTCTCCTCACATGCTCACACACATGAAGCCATGCAGACAGTAGAACACACCCACACACCTTCAGCGCGCATCACACTGTTACTTCACAGCAGTCTGCGGATACTGCATGAATAGATGGCCAAAATAGAGATCTGAAAGGGTGAAACGATCGATATCAGTCGCATTCATGAGGATACAACCGTGACATCACAAACAAGCGGCAGAATAGGATGTCATTTAGGGGGGCCTTGCTGTTCACTTGCAGAAATTCCATCGCATGACGGAGATACGGTGAACAATTTGATCTGTCCATCTGAGATGGAGTTAAAAACTGAGAAATAACAATGCATAATTAACTCAAGGTGGCTCATGGGTTGTTGTTGTTTTTTTGCAGCCCCCTTAACACGTCTCCTCTGTCAAACAGACTCCTGCGAAATGTGCATTTCTGCTCGGGAACAGGCATTTGCGTAGCCACTTTCAGCAACATGTGAAGTGAAGTTTATGTATAAACAAATTTCGAGAGGATCACGTGCTTATGATTGCTAGCAGCTGACCCGCATTATCCAATTCACTACGATCCAATCAGATGACTCCTAAACTACTATAAATACCCTGGGGTTTATTCCATTGCTATCTTCGTTTTGAAGAGTCCCCCCTTCCTCCCCTACGCCTCCTTCTTAGACGTGTGACACGGTGGCCCACTGTCGCCTCACAGCAAGAATGTCTCTGGTTCCTGGCTTTACCAAATCTAGCAGACATTTCTGTGCGGAGTTTTGCACTTCTCCCCGTGCTCACGTGGGTTTCCCCCGGGTTCCCCGGTTTCCTCCCACCGCCTAAAAACATGCAATTAAGTCAATTGAACAATCCAAATTGTCAACATAGACACGCTCCTAGTTAGTAATTAGTTTCAAGAGCATTCACTTGCTACAGCAGGGGAGTTCTCGAGATCTACCTGAGCTCAAACTCCCCTCCCGCTTTGCAACGTTAGGGAGCCCTGGGCTCGAGGATCTCATGAGCTCAGGGCTCTCTCCCGGGACAGCATGCCAAACAAGCTTTATAATTAATCATCAGCTAAGTGTGAACTCTTGAAGTATTGTTGGAAAATGCTTAGTGAAGTTTATTCATAAACAAATTTCGAGAGGATCATGTCAGGGCCGGAGTGGGACACCTTTTCAGCCCTGGGGTTTCAAGCCTCAGACCGGCCCACCTCAGTGCACGACTGACTATATTAAAATAAGGTCATTTCCAAATCAGTTTCTAATGACACTATCGCGTCTTTTTTTGAGAAAACAGCTGCTTTAGAACTTCAAATGTTCAACAAGCCTAACAGTATTATTTGTCTTAACAATAAAAATGAAAACATTTAATTACTCTAACGAGGATCGAACCCGGGTCCCAGCACCTTAACCTAACGTGCTAACCGCTGGACCACAACAGCTGGGTACAGTAGGGAGACACAACTGAGCTAATAATCAATAAAAAGGCTGTGGTCAAGTAAATAAATACATTTAAAAAGTGTGACTGCTGAGAGCAACAGATTCTGGAGCTAGGGACGCCGGCCCTCACGGCCAAAAAACGGACCGGCCCACCGGGAATTCTCCCGGTCCTCCCGATTAGCCAATCCGGGCCTGGATCATGTGCTTATGATTGTTCACAGCTGTTCCAACTTTAGCTAACGACTGATTATCCTATCAGACGATCCTTAACTCACTATAAATAACCAGACTTTTCTCATCTCAATATCTTCGTCTTGAAGAAACCCCCCCCACCCAACCCTACTTTCCCTCCTTTCAAACGGGCGTCACGGTGGCCAGCGACTAGCGCTGTTGCCTCACAGCAAGAATGCCCCTGGTTTAATTCCTTTCCAAACCAGACGGCATTTCTGTGCGGAGTTTGCTCGTTCTCCCCGTGGTCGCGTGGGTTTTCCCCGGGTCCTCCGGTTTCCGCCCATGGTTCAAAAACAAGCACTCTAAACAATTAATCAAAATACATTAACTAAACTCTGAGTACACCTTTCAGCATACATATCCGACACGTCGCCTAGTCAAGTTTTAGGAGCAGCAAATAAAAGTTGACTTCTAGTTGATCATTTGGCTTCTGAAATGGCTTATATGAAAGGCGAAGGCCTCTAGATTATGCTTATTTTAGCACAATAAAATATGATCATGTGTTGATTTTGTTATTATTTAATCAGGACAGTAAGGTCTGACTTTCCGTAGATTAAAGTCTTGAACAGAAATAATGTCCAGTATAGAATATAAAGTCCTGCTGCAGTGGAGACAGAATGAATATTGTGTCTGACTCCATCATGAGCTTGGAGGACTGCATCCATACATCTCTGACATGACTCAAATCACTGATTAATAAAGTCATCTGGAATGGCAAAGAAAGCGTTCCTGCAGGACTCCCACAGTTCATCTTCAACGCCTCCTCCATCTTCCACCAGACATGCTTAATAATGTTCATTCCTGGTGACTGGGCTGGCCAATCCTGGAGCAGCTTGATCTTCTTTGCTTTCAGGAGCTTTGATGTGGAGGCTGAAGTATGAGAAGGAGCGCTATCCCGCTGGAGAATTGTCCCTCTCCTGTGGTTTGTACACTCTCAGAAATAAAGGTATGCGAGCTGTCACTGGGGTGGTACCTTTTCAAAAGGTACAAATTTGTACCTTAAAGGTCCAGTAGGTAGTGGTGTCGCCTCAAAGCAAGAAGGTCGCTGGTTCGAATCTCGGCTCAGTTGGCATTTCTGTGTGGAGTTTGCATGTTCTCCCTGCCTTTGCGTGGGTTTCCTCCGGGTGCTTCAGTTTCCCCCACAGTCCAAAGATTTGGTACAGGTGAATTGGGTAGGCTAAATTGTCCATAGTGTATGAGTGTGTGTTTGGATGTTTCCCAGAGATGGGTTGTGGGTGGAAGGGCATCCGCTGTATAAAAACTTGCTGGATAAATTAGCGGTTTCATTCTGCTGTGGCAACCCTGGATTAATAAAGGGACTAAGCTGACAAGAAAATGAATGAATATATACTTATGAGGTACAAATATAGACCCTTTAGGTACAAATGTGTACCTTTCGACTTTGAATAGTTTGCAGGCACTTACCTTAAGAAAATGTACTAAATTCAATGAATCTTTTGTTTTTTGTTTGTGTACTTAAAGTATAGGCAAAAGTAGCTCTTCTAAAAGTACTCAAGCAGTAATAGCGAGCCTTGAGGTTCACCCTGCAGATTAAAAATGTACGCTTTTCTTTTAAACTATGCTTCTGCGTGTAAATTAAATCCAAATGAAAGTTCCAAAGTTTAAGTTAAATGTAAAATATCAGATTAATTTAATGCGAGAACATTAATGCATTAATATAGAACATTAATATGGTGAGCCTTGCAGTACACCCTGCAGATAAAGAAAAAGAAAATTTAATAACAATAGTTCCTTACATTTGGCGACGCAGTGGCGCAGTAGGTTGTGTTGTCACCTTACAGCAAGAAGGTCGCTGGTTCGAGCCTCGGCTGGATCAGTTGGCGTTTTTGTGGGTTTCCTCCGGGTGCTCCGGTTTCCCCCACAGTCCAAAGACATGCGGTACAGGTGAATTGGGTAGGCTAAATTGTCCGTAGTGTATGAAGTTGTTTCTCTTATACAGAAACATGGCAGAATAAATGCTGACCTTCATCAGAAGCTCCTTCAGTAATATGTAATTCTTTTCTTGAGTTCATCCAACAACCAGAAAGCAGTTCAAAACCGGTAAAGAAGTTCCTTAAAGCGGAAAAGACAGAAGTTATGAAATGGCTGGCCAGAGCCCTGACCTAAACCTGATTGAAAATCTCTGGAAAATGTTTGACCACAAAAATTTAAAGAGAAACCCAGGAAAATAGAACCTTCAAATAAACATGTCATGGGAAAATCTAAAATTGTATTTTAATGAAGAGGAAAAATAAATTATAAATATGTAATTTAGTAGAAATTTGGGATTTATTTATTATTTACATCAAACATACCGCATTTGAATTTAAATACATTATCTTTTCATTCCTAGACGTTAGGTAGCCAAAATGAGATTTTAATGTATATAACTGTTTAATTGTCTAAATTCAGCAAAATTGGAGAGTGGTCTGGACGCAGACCTGGTGCAGTGCAATCTGGGCTGCATCCAATGCTTTTTAATGGGCTCACCCAACCCCACCCCTAACCCCACCCATCACAGTGACGTCACTCGCTCCATTTGAGTGCATTGTGTCTGACAATACATCGCTGGGTGATGCAATCTCAGCTTGCATCATAAAGGCTGCATCCAGATACTGTTGCAAAATCTTCACTGAAAAATTGATAATCATTTTCAGAAGGAGGTGTTCTCATATATGTTGTGCACTGCAGTACTGTATATATTCAAAAGTCAATGATGTGCGTTCTCTACTGAATGGCATGCACAAGTCAAGCAGCTTAGAAAAGAAACTTAATACTTGCAATTTCTATTCTATTTCTAATCCAGTGTCTTCTTCTTTAAACGTATTAATGCGCTGCGATAGACTAGCTGGAACCAGTCACAGAATTGACATGTTGTTCATTTTGTAGAAAGTGTCAGTCACTTCAGGGTTTTTGAACAGTGAGTAAATTCAGACTGTTTGACACTGACGATTTTGCCAGAAATATAAGTTTGCCAAATCTGTTTTGCCTTCATGCTTTTATTGTAGTTTCAAGGTTGCTGTGTCTCTTGTTTAAGGCTGATTAGCATCTGTAGAGCCAGGCAACTCCCCAATAAACACATATTATAAGAAACAGAAATTATACTTTCAGTCTGTAAAAGAAAAGCCTTTTACATCGTCTGAAACATTACTGATTACAAAAATAATGACAGAAAAAGTCAGTTATGTGATGACCCTATATATTTATATATTTATTTATTTATTCATTCATTCATTCATC